AGGATACCTGTTATTATTCTAAGCTGCCCTTTTGGGAGGTCAACTAACCCTTGGAATCTCCTTGTTATAACCTCCCAGTAAACTCTTTGCTTGACGCATTCCTGACGAATTTTGACAGTTTATATCCCTCATAGTGATCCTCTCTATCCTGAGCTCCTCGTTTAGAGTGTTGGGACCCAATCCTAGGAAGGGCTCAGGGCCAACTGGAGTAGTGGCTGCCGCCTCTCTTGCGAGACAGTCAGCCGCCTCGTTACCCTCTACTCCATTGTGACCAGGTATCCACGCCAACTTGATGTTATTGTATTTACCTAGGGAGTTAAGTTTCTCAATGCACTCCAGGACCAGCGACGATTTGACCTCATAGGAATAAGGGCCTTGAGTGCTGCCTGACTATCGCTCAGGATTAAGATTCTCTTGTTTTTTTACCCTCTACCCATGATTGTATCCGCACACAGGTAGATAGCGTAAACTTCTGCTTGAAAAATGCTCGGATATTTCCCCATAGGAACAGAAATCCTGGCCCAGGGTCCAACAATTCCAGCAACTATTCCTTCTGGGGTCTTCGAGCCATTCGTGTACCAGTGCAGAGTGCAACCCTGAAGTAATGTCTCGAAAGTGGAGACACTTCAGGTCGCTTTACTGCAAAGCTCTATTTTGAATGTATTCTCAAAGACTATGGTCTTTCCTATGTCATCTCTAGGTAACAGGGCAAGTGGGAGCGAGGACCCTAGCTCCTCCATACTCCTAGAGGAAATGACTTTACCTTTACCAAATCCCTCTCTCGCAATGTTAAGCAGAGTTCTTTTGGCTGCCTGCTCTATGGTTATATGAAGAAGCTCGAGTTCAAGGACTACTTCCAGCGCCGTCGTCGGACATGTGCGCATCGCTCCTGTTATACAAACACATGCCAGTCGTTGTAGCTTGGTGAGCGATTGTCTCACCGTGGCTAGAGTAGTTCTTGAAACCCAAGCTACCGCCCCATAGGCCGTACTATCATGATGTAAAGCCATCTTAGGATTCTGGGCGTACAACCCAAGGATCTTCCCGCCAGACGCTTACACACCATTAAAGCTTTCGTGGCCCTAGAGATGATCGCGTCCACATATTTCTTCCATAGAAGTTTCTTGTCTTGGACTATTCCCAGATACTTCAGTTCGCTGGCGATGCTAACCTCGACCCCCTCCAAGGTTATGTTCCTCATGCCCGGAAGGGCTCTTTTCCTAGTAAAATGAATGGTGACGGTTATCGCCCCATGCCTTCGTCAGTCTTAAACCTCTTTTAATGATGTCGCAGAGGGTGCTCT